CATGGACACCTGGAACACCAGAGGCGTTACAAGTGCGTTACCGGCATTTTGGGGATTAGAAGTTTGAGGATCGTTGGGGATTCAGGAATTGGGGAGATTGGGGAAGGGGAGGGTAATTGGGCCTCCGGTAATCTCACTCACACGACAAAACACAACGCAAGCGTTGCTTCACGTCAGTATTCTGCTCGTTGGTGGTATCACACCGGTCGAGCCGGCCCATTCTTGCCAAAGCATGGCTCTCCCACACTTAAAATAAAGTTGGGTCTATTGAGTTTCCTTGGTCAAAATATTTCTCTCAATTGGCTCGGTGTCTAACATTTACCATAAAAAAATCAATACACAATTAAATGCAATACAAGCAGAAATTTATTTCCAAAAGATAAACTAAGCTGATGATGTGAATTTAAACAAGTTTGAACATAATTTGAAAAATAAAATTAAAACATTTCACTGTACTCAGATTGTCGTTGAAGAATTAGTTCAGTCCGTGGTCTTTTGGTAACAGTTTAAGCAGTTGCTTCGGCGGTGGCGGCATCAGAACTGGCAGCATCGCTACTGGCAGCAGAAGCACTCTCTTGCACAGCATCTATCAATGCGTTTAACTGCTCTTGTAATGAGTCCAATGCCGCATTAGCCTCCGTTAGTAAATTAACAAGTAGTTCCTTCTGTGCCGCTGCAATACCCGAAGCTATTTCATTGACTGCGTTTTGAGCTTCTTCAATTTGTTGCTTAAGTTCAGCAATCTTAGCTTTTAAGTCTTCCAAGCCTTGCTCGCTCAGTTCCTTTAGGGAGGTTCCTATTTCATTGACTAGTTCTGACACACCGTTGAAAATATTAGTCAGAGTCTCCTTCAGATCGACGTTAGTAATTTGTTCAACAAGGTTTAATGCGGCTGAAACAAAATAAAAATATATCATCAATGTGTGTTCATTCAATATTCAAACCTATATAAACTAGCTGTCAACTCAGTGTTGTAATAAACAGTGAATATACTTACAGTTCACAATTTCGTCGAGTGCAGCGCCGGTTGAGTTCAGTACTGCAATATAAATAATAATTTATTATTATAATTGTCATTCAAATTTACAATACTGGTATAGTAAATAAATTGGATTTATTTTGCTGACGTCACAGAGATATGTACATTTTCTCCCGTGTCGTAAGTGCACGCTAACAAATATACAATCTCACGTGCGCACATACACCCAGATTCAAAACAACAACTTGTGGCGCTCAGGCTCACAAACTCGGTTTCTCAGCCATCGCACCAACCGTGCAGTCATATACAGATGACTATATATGTATATGTATATGACTATTTGACATATACTAGACACAGAAATATCAAGACCAAAATTTTGCACAGAAAATATGTGTGATAATATGCCTGCTACAGCTAGGCATATTTGATGGCTACGTGACAAGCTAAATCTTAGAACTAGCTGGTATCCTAGTAATAAACAGAGAATGCACTTACCGTTTGATACCAAGTCTTGTACTCCGTCCACTACTCCGTCTACGACTGCAATATAAATAATAATGTATTAATGTATTGTGACTCAAATCTCAAATCTATAATACTCGTGGCCAGAGGTATAGTGCCCGCTTCCTAATAGTACGGTGCGGGTTCTAAACCTGGCTAGTAGCAATGTGACTATTTAGACGCAACTAAAATAATGGTAAATATAGAACAACTTAAGAAAAAAGAAATAAAGGAAGAAGGAAATAATAATCATTATTACGGGATAGGTAATGTTACCCACGTGATCAAATACAAACGTGGTGATCAATGCTCATGCCATCTCCGAGTGAGAAGGGGTAAAGGTAAAGGCCCAGTATTAGGTATCCGCCTATTGTAATATCCGGCTTTTTAAAAATAAACAGTGTATGTATTTCTTACCTTGGCCAACTCCTTCCAGTGCATCGCCAACGACTGCAATATAAATAATAATCCTGGTAAGATAGTAAGAAGTAAGGTCTCGCTTCCTAAGCGTTAGGATATGGACTCGAAACCAAACTGGTGAAAATAATCAGCACTGCCTATGGACTTAGACCCCCCCGCCCCACAACACCAGAAGAGATATAATTATGTTGCCCGTCTTTGCATGGGAAAGGGTAATTGGTCTGAAAATTTCACTCATGTGATCACACGTGGTAAGCAATGCTCATGCTTTCTTCGAGCGAGAAGAGGCTTTTACCCAGGAGTGGGCTTACTGCCATGGGATGATATGATTTATACTATATACAGTGTACTTACGGTTACCAGTATTGTTGAGGACTCCGCCAACCACTGCAATATAAATAATAATCTATTATTATAGTGCAATATAGTAAATAATAAACTTATAATTGTCATTTAAATTTACAATACAACAAGTAAGGTCCGGCTTCCTAAGCGTTAGGATACGGGCTTAAAACCAAACTGGTGAAACTAATCAGCACTGCCTATGGACTTGGACCCCCCAACACCAGAAAAGCTATAATTGTGTTGCCCGTCTTTGCAGGCGAAAGGGCGATTGGTCTGGAAATCTCATTCATGTGATTAAACGTATTAAGCAATGCTCATGCTTTCTTCGACCGAGAAGAGGCTTTTACCCAGCAGTGGACTTGCTGCCTTGGGATAATGTGATTTGTACAATGTATAGTGTAAGTACTTACCGGTACCAGTATTGTCCAGGGCTTCGCCAACGACTGCAATATAAATAATAATCTATTATTTTTATTGTCATTTAAATCTGCAATGGAGGTTAGAACCCCAGCTAGTAAGTAGCAATTTGATTTATTTCAACTGATAATATAATTCAAATTATATTTAGACAACACTAACAAAAAACCGACTTCAACCCTCTGTTTTTAAGTCGGTTTTTGAATATACTAAGACCTTCTCCTAAGTGTGATCCCTAAACTCAAACTGAGATAGTGGTTTTTAGTCAGTAAGAGTCTGAGCTATTGCCCAGCAGTGGGCTTGGGATGATGTAATTTGTTATTATTATTTTTTATTTTATTTAGGAAAATCCCTGACCGACAAACCGATTTATACTAAATATAGTGTGCTTACGGTTATTAGTTCCGTCTAGGACTCCGCCTACGACGGCAATATTAATAATAATAATCTATTATTTTAATTGACATTCGAACATGGTGGCCAAGGTGTTATAAAGTGCCCGCTTCCCAAGTATTACGGTGCGGGTCCGAAACCTGGCAAATAGCAATATGACTTTTACAAGCGTTTATTTAACTTGCAATGAATGTAAGTGTGTGAAGTGGAATCTTACACTAAATACATAAAATAAAGGTAAATCTACACTGGATGTATCCCAGTGTTGGTAAAAGAGAAACAGTGAATGTAATTCTTACCTTGGCCAACTCCACCTACTACTCCGCCAACCACTGCAATATAAATAATAATCTATTATTATAAATGTCATTCCAATCTACAATAGAGGTTTGAACCCCTAGCTAGTAAGTAGCAATTTCATTTATTCGACACACGATGATTTAGACACCACTTACATACGATGGAAGAAACAATAATTTTTTTATGTTCCACGTAAAGAACCGACTTCAACCCCCTCTTTTTTAAGTCGGTTATTGAATATACTAAGACCTTCTCCTAAGTGTGATAATCGTGCATATACATACAAACAGGTCAAACTGAGATACTGTTTCTATCTTCAAGTCAGGTAAAAACTCACACATAGTGTTATTTTATTATCACCAACACGCTTTTTGTAACCGTATATGCGGACAAACGAGCGATCGAATCACCGGACTATAAGGGCAATCAGCGCGGCCAATGGACACCCGCAACACGACAAGTGTTATAATTGTGTTGCCAGTGTTTGCATGGGAGAGGTGGATTGGTTCGGCAGTCTCACTCATGTGAATAAATACAAACGTGATTATCAATGCTCATGCCGTCTCCGAGTGAGAAGAGGCTTTTGCCCAGCAGTGGGCAAAGTATGAGCGTGAAGTGGAGTCTTACACCAAATACATAAAATGAAAGTAAATCGACACTGGATGTACCCCAGTGTTGGAATAAAAGAAACAGTGAATGTAAGTCTTACCTTGGCCAACTCCGCCTACTACTCCGCCAACCACTGCAATATAAATAATAATCTATTATTATAATTGTCATTCAAATAATTGTGTTGCCAGTCTTTGCATGGGAGAAGTGGATTGGTCCGGCAATCTCACTCATGTGATCAAATATAAACGTGGTGATCAATGCCCATGCCTTCTCCGAGTGAGAAGAGGCCATATCTTATACTTGCTGGTGACCCAGTGTTGTAATAAAGAGTAAATGTACTTACATTTGCCGAGTCCGAAGATAGCCTAGGGGGACAGAAATAATAACACCGTATTACATTATGTACAGCATAAGAAAATTATTGCTCTTTATCAGTCATTCTTATGACCAGTAGGGATATTAAGTATAAGAATCACAATGATACAAAAATTTGAGAAGTATACAAAGATGGAATTCTTAATGACATAGGTCGTTACAGGCTGACTAATAGGGCAGAAAGAAAGCTTGTGAATGTGAATATACGAGGGGCTGTATCGAAAGTGTATGTGGCTAGAACACATAGGCCTACTAAAGAGCGACCACGTAGAAGTCGTCACTCTCAGTACTCCATGGCGTTACTCCTAAATTCAAATATTCGTAGGGAAATACTTACACGCTTATTCCTTCCAGCTACTTTGCTCTCGATAGCCTTTCCGGATGCTTCATGGACTGAAGCTAGAGCCGCCTGTAACGTACAAATTACTGTCAATGAAGGTGTTCTAAATAAACAAGTACTATTGTATAAAAAACATTTTTTGTGTTAAACGGTTTTTTTGAACTCTCCACCATCAATCACCCCTTCGTTTGACAACCATAATGGAGGGAGGAAGTTATGAAAAATTTTTGATAGTGGTCCATGACCATCAATCTGTAGCCAGGAAGGGGTAAAATTCCAAGTAGCAATGAACTTAATAAACAAACGGGACCGTCTGTGCGTCTTCCCTAGCCTAGAGCTGGTGTCAAGTCAGACTCCGCATACAAGCGACAATGTCCAAACAACAGAAAAAGTTCTATTACAGCTTTATTTATCAAATAGTAACATGACATTAATAGGTGAGTACACGTAGCTGGAATATGGAGTAACACACGTTACACCACCCAAAACAGAAATGTTCAAATTTGATGAAAGTCGATGTCGAGAAGAAAAGTGAAAGAAAAGTGATACTGGAGGTACTTACGAAAGCGACGACCAATAATAACACGGCGGTTTTCATGTTGGAGAGTTTGGAGACTGATGATCAAGTAATCTTAGTCGGAACAAGATGCTTGTAACTCGTACCTCTGCTCTCATGGCGCAGCCTTTTATATGGACCATCTCGTCGTTTGCATTACGAGTTGCAACTGTGCAAATACAATAAATTACTGAAAAAATAATTACAATAATTGCATGTTTACATTTTCTTACGTTTATTGATTTAAGAGGTAGGTGTCTGATATCTGACGAATTTCCGTGTGTTACTTTCGAGGTGATCAATTGTACGCGTTGGCGGTTAATCTTAGAATAGAATAGATTAGAATAAACTTTATTATACACCAATAATAATATAGTACATACAGAAAAGGAATTGACAAACATAAATAAAAAATAATAATGAGCACAAAGGCGGTCTTATCGTGGTTTCTACCAGACAACTTTTAAGTGTGGGAGAGCCATGCTTCGGCACGAATGGGCCGACTCGACCGGAGTGATACCACGGCCGAGCTAAGACTGACGTGAAGCAACGCTTGCGTTGTGCTCCGTCGTGTGAGTGAGTTTACCGGAGGCCCAATTACCCTCCTCTTCCCCAATCTCCCCAATCCCTGAATCCCCAACGATCCTCAAACTCTAATCCCCAAAAGATCGGTAGCGCACTTGTAACGCCTTTGGTGTTCCAGGTGTCCATGGGCGACGCCGATTGCTTACTATCAGCTGATCCGTCTGTTCGTTTAAACCCACCAAACTACCTAGGTTAGTAGGTGTCTCATGGCGGAATGGTAGCAACGACTGTCGCAACCGAGGGCTGAGGTCGCTGTCACTGCAGCGGTAAGTCCCCTCTTTGAAGAGTGGCTTGAGAGACGTTCCAGTGTCCTCACCTACCGCTTGACGCAGGTGCTTACCGGACACGGAAGTTTCGCATCAAGGAGCCATCAGACCAACACAGATGGGGCCCAACAGGGCCGATACCGATACGGAGCCGCGGAAGATTCAACAGGTTGCCGGGGCTCCAGCTCGAAGTGCAGGAGTAGGAACGGGGTGGTTTTTAGTCAGTAAGAGTCTGACACTTCCTCTTGCCTCACCCGTGCGGTAGAAGTCATTGGGTGACTGTCCTCCCTAAAAAAAATATCGAAATTCAAAAGCTATCTTTATTTATCGAAAAATCATAGGTATCTTACGTATCTTACTAACTTGATTAAGTTTTCTAATCATATAATACCATGTTAACCATGAAAATAGTTTGAAGCATTGACTTGTAAAGGTAGACCATTCTGGAGAGGTACGAGAGGCACACATCACACACATCAACAGCCTATAATGCGTACTGCTGAGTAAAGCCCCATCCCACACGGAGAAGGTTTGAGCATTAATCACCACGCATGCTCAATGGGGGTTGGCGATTTCAAACTTACAATTAGCACAATTAGCCCAGATTTCCTCACGATGTTTTCCTTCACCGTTTGTCAGTGGTGTCTGAGTAATCTTAGAAAGTACCTACATTTAACTCGGAAAAAGTCCCATTGGTACTTGCCATTGGTAAGATTCGAACCCGCACCCACATGCATGAGAAGCGGGCGTCTTAAACCTCCGAGCCACCACGACAGTCAGAGAGGCGACTATACCTAATATCTTAATTTTAAAGTTAAGAGGACATCGTAATATCTTTTAGAACCGAAGCGATACATCTTCAAATGCATATTATGCAAATATACTTAGAAATAAATGTTAATTTCTTCCCAATTTCTAAAGAACTGCTCACACGGACGGCTTTGTTTTAATATTATTAATTCTTGGTATTTCTATAAAAGTCGGCTCTCTATCTTACAATGTTGCGTGTTTCTTTGAAACTGGACTCATTGCATTACTTTGTAATGATGTTTTTACGATGCATTTAGCAAGGCGACTTGTATGCCGGGAGTACAGTAAAGGGTCTTTCAAAAGCAAAACTAATTTAAATTCATTTATTTGTTTCTGCGCTCAGTAGGTGGCGCTTGTGAAGTTTTTAAGTAGTCAAACCGAAAAAGTTACAATAATATCGAAATAAATACTTAATTACCTTATTGTATGTAGTTAACATACAAATTTTTTTTATAGCAGAAGCCAGTAAACGAGCAGACGAGTTACCAGATGGTAAGCAATCGGCGCCGCCCATGGACACCTGGAACACCAAGGCGTTACAAGTGCTTTACCGGCCTTTTGGGAATACATATACATATACATTATTTTGCATTTATTTTTATTTATCATTACACACTGTCATCTGCCCTATCATTTTATAATTTTAATTGTAAAAATACTGTTACCTATTGCGTTCTTGCGTAATATTGCATAATATGCGCAGACTGAAGACTTACTGTTGGTCGACAGATAATCTGCTAACTCGCTGTTTTTTCCTTTTACTTTTATGTTATGTAAGATTTATTTTAGTACTTTATACTGTTAATTGATCTTTAAAATCAAAACATACATATTGTACTGAATAGTCTGAAACACAGGTTCAACCTAGTTCAGGCAAATAAGCTACTGAGCTCTAATCAATTCGTATCTTTTTAAAAAATAAATAATTTTTATTAATTATTATCAAAATTATGCATTAATTAATGTTCTTAAAAGTAATAAGAACATTATTTCTTGACATAATCGACCATATTTGACACGAAGTTACCTTTAGACCCTTTCTAAGTTCTGCCTGACCTCGTATGCTCGTATACGAGCTACAGCTTGACCCTACGGCATTTAACGAACATATCCACGGTATATGACTGTTATGACACAAAATCATAGAATGCGGAATGTAATATGAGTTGAATACGGTACTTATTAATATCTGTATACAAGCAATACTTTAAAATGTTGTGTATGTTAAAATGGGCACTATTCTATCAATCAAGCCCTTTCGATGGACATAACGGAGGTGCTTGAAGCAAAAAAAATATTATATTACCTTCAAGATTTGTCAAAGGCAAAGTCAAAGCATTTATTTCAATTAAACCATACTTTGGTACTTTTGAAACGTCAACAAATATAAAATAAATAATAGTCCGTCAGTCAGTCCGTCAGTGAAGCTAGGTGAAGTTAGGTGGTCATTCCAAAATGTAGATTCGAATGGAGAAGAACGAGCAAGAAACTCCATTCGGTACTCTTTAAAAAAAAGTATGTTCTACAATGTCTCTGATGCATATTCCAATACTGTACGTATATGTGAGAACAATGCAAAGACACGCTTGATGCATTATACAAATTACAAAACTTACTAAAAAAAAAAAAAAACAAAACAAACATAAAAAAAAGTCTTATCGTCTAACATGGTGCTCACATATGCATACTGATAATCTATAAAAATAGCGCTTCTATACAGGAAAAAGGGAACTATTTGTTTCAATAAAGCAAGAAATGCTCGATGCCATAAGGAAGCTAGATTGTCTACATTAGAATGAAAGTATTAAATTACCTACTATTGGAATCTGATTAACTATCTGACTACATTTGAGTATGGTCCAGTGAAGCCGAACCAACATGCTGCCAAGCATTCTTATCTTCAAGATAATCTGTTACTTTGTAGTAAGCTTGATTACATAATTCGCGGTAAATTAAGAGTGCGCATCAAATAACAAATTGATCTGTCGTTAGGTAGGGAGGGAAATTCTAACAACTTGTGACTCAAACAAACATACAAAAGGGGTAAGCTAAATGAATGGAGTCGGTAAATTTAAAAACGTTTTTAAGATTGCATCTAATAATATCATCACAACAATTAACGCTTTAAGTCTCACATAGCGCTATTGTGCCTCGGCAATTGTTCTACTGGTCGTTGTGGCCCGGAGGTTTAAGACGCCCACTTCTCATGCATGAGGGTGCGGGTTCGAAACCTACCAACGGCAAGTACCAATGTGACTTTTTCCGAGTTATATGTACTTTCTAAGATTATTTAGACACCACTGACAAACGGTGAAGGAAAAACATCGTGAGGAAACCTGAACTTATAATTTCTAATTATAAGTTTGAAATCGCCAACCCGCATTGAGCAAGCGTGGTGATTAATGCTCTAACCTTCTCCGTGTGAGAAGAGGCTTTGCTCAGCAGTGGGCATTTATAGGCTGTTGATGATGATGATGAATTGTTCTACTATATCTCTTGAATTAATTCTGGAACTCCGCCACATAACTATAGTAGAACCTTAGGCCGTAAGATTTGATGCCCAATCCAGGGGAGATCAGTCCAGCAAGCGTAGAGTTTCATGCTCAAACCTTCTACCGTGTGAGAAGAGGCCTTCAGACAGCAGTTACCATTATATGCTGTTGATGTGTGATGTGTTAGGGACGGGTATATTTTACTCTGCTTTTACTAAGTGGCGGCTGGTGGGTTATCGAACTGGTGGTGCCCTTTACTAAAATACTAAAATTAGAAAACGCAACGAAACGAAAATTGACATTGATTTTTCTGAAGCTAAAAGTTTAATCACCTTTTTATTAAAATCACCACCACGCTTATGCATGGTGAATCATGGGTGTGGCAGAAGAAGCATAAAAGCAGGATTATGGCTTGGGAATGAGAGCCCTGAGAACTATGTGCGGAGTAAAATTGAGTGATCGAGTGAAATTTTGTGTTATCAGAGAAAGTTGTGGATTCAAAGATGATGTAGTGACATGTAGAAAGGATGGATGAAAATAAAGTAATAAAAGAAGTACATACATAGCGGATATGAATGGCGCCGTTGATAGAGGGCGCCCTAGACGGACTTACCTCTATACTGACGATATTGGCAATATATTGAAGAAGGGCCAAATTAAAAGTATATTTTATTTTCACCCCTCGAATTCTATTCACCCCGTAAAAGACTAATTGGCATTCATAGTCTCTGCTTACCTACATGGGAGACAGGCGTAATATGTATGTATGTAAATCTATAATTATTAAGTGCCTTACAAATTACCCACGTTTATTGTTTAGGTACCTATTTCTCAATGACTGTCTAGTGTGTTGTAAACACCATTCATTACGTTGAATAATTGTAAAACAATTAATTTGAATAAACACAACCTCTGGTATTTAATCTGGAATACGAAGG